CTGCTAATGCACATGGAAAATAAGGAGGTGATTAGTGACAGCCAACATGGCTTCACTAAGGTCAAATCATGGCTGACAAATTTGGTGGCCTTCTGTGATGGTGTTACAGCATTGGTGCGTAAGGGGAGAGCAACAGACATCATCTACCTGGATTTGTGCAAAGCGTTGACGCTGTTCTGCATTGTGTCCCTAAATTGGAGACACATAGATTTGATGGATGGACCACTTGGTGGATAAGGAACTGGCTGGACAGTTGCACTCAAAAAGTTGCAGTCAATGTCCATGTGGCAAGCAGTGACAAGTGGTGTTCCTCAGAGATCCGTACTGGATCTCGTACTATTTAACATCTTTGTGGTGACATGGATGTTGGGATGGAGTGCACCCTCAGCAAGTTTGCTGATGACACCGAGCTGTGTGGAGCGGCCGACACGCTGAAGGGAAGGTGTACCATCCAGAGGGACCCAGACAGGCTGGAGAGGTGGGCCTGTGCAAACCTCATAAGGTTCAACAAGTGCAAGGTCCTGCACGTGGATAGGGGCAATCCCATGCACAAATACAGGCTGGGTGGAGAACGGATTGAGAGCAACCCTGAGGAGAAGATCTTGGAGGTGCTGGTGGATGAGAAGCTCAATGTGAGCAGGCAGTGTGCACTCACAGCCCAGAAGGCCAGCTGTATCCTGGGCTGCATCACAAGAAGTGTGGCCAGCAGGTTGAAGGAGGTCATTCTGTCCCTCTACTCTGCTCTGGTGAGACCACACCTGGAGTACTGTGTCCAGCTCTGGAGCCCCCAACGGTAGAAGGTCATGGACCTCTTGGAGCAAGTCCAGAGGAGGGCCACAAAGATGATCAGAGGGCTGGAGCACCTCTCCTATGAAGACAGGCTGAGAGTTGGGGCTGTTCAGCCTGGAGAAGAGAAGGCTCCTGGGGAGACCTTATAGCAGCTTTCCAGTATTCTCAAGGGCGCCTACAGGAAACCTGGAGAGGAACTTTTTACAAGGGCATGTAGTGATAGGACAAGGCGAAACAGCTTTAAACTGGAAGAGAGTAGGTTTAGAATAGATACTGGGAAGAATTTTTTCACTATGAGGGCGGTGAGGCACTGGAACAGGTTGCCCAGAGAGGTTGTGGATGCCCCATCCCTGGAGGTGTTCAAGGCCAGGCTGGATGGGGCTTTGAGCAGCCTGGTCTAGTGGGAGGTGTCCTTGCCCGTGGCAGGGAGGTTGGAACTAGATGGTCTTTAAGGTTCCTTCCAACCTAAACCATTCTGTGATTCTATGATGATTCTATGATCTTAGTGGTCTTTCTTTTGTGCCTAAACTCCTTCAAAAATTGTTACTTGTTTGGAGAATGGCCAGAATAAAGATTCACTTTTTATATCTGAAGCCTAGTGTTATAAAGTGCTAAAAGTCTGTCCGCTTGTTTGAAAATAAAGTTTGAAGAAGTTGTCTGTGTTAAAGAGGCATCCATTTTAAGTAACACCTCTCAGACCGTAAAAGTGCTCTGCTCCTAGGTTATTCCTATTTGTTCAGGTAAGAAGGGTTGCAGACCAAAGGTGGAGCTGTGGGAAAGGGCACTGCTTGACAGGAAAAGCAGTGAACTGAGGTTGGAGTATGAGGAGGATTGGATACCTAGGGTAAAAATGAACATTCAACCTTGATATAGATTGTTGTTTTAACTACGTTACTTAAAATATCTAGTTAGTCTGACAATAATATGCTGTCACCACACATTTAGTCAAATAAACCTCTAGGACATTTAAACAGGAAGTTATTGCATAAGAGATTACTTTTTATTTTATGAATGGTGATTTGGGGAGCTTGTATAAATCATCAGACTTTAATGGTCAAAACACCCCTTAATATTGAAAAAACACTTGTTCTATAAAAAAAGCTAAACAAAAAATGTAAACAAAAGTTTTTCACTGAAACCTCTATTCATTTTTCCTTCTCAGCAGGCAGAGATTAACAAAAATAAATGCATGAGATTAGAAAACAGAGATAATTTGCCTGATAAACAGTTAATGATGAAAATACAAAATTATTATCATAGAATAGAATCTATATTGTCATATATCACAACAGCAGCCTTGAATGATAAGGACTGTTGTGCAAGGAAAAATAATCCAGTCTAACCAGTTCTCTTTCAAAATTCCAAGCTCAGTAGCTGGGTAGGAGGCAGTGCAAGCAGCATTCCAGTCTGATGACAAGTATTCTGATTGCAAGACAAGAGTACTTTCCAGCTGTTGCGTGTGTGCCTGCCTGAGTTTTGGCTTGCTCACAGGTGATTTAATGTTGAGGTAACTATTAAGCAGGATAAGTGTTTACTTAGGGCATATTTAGAATATATACTGATTTTTGGCATGTGATAGTAAAAGAACATTCCATTGCTATGTCTTACACATGTTCAGGGTGTAATCCCCAACAAGTAAAAAGATTACTGTATGTAATAGGGGTTTCACGTACAACTAAGGCATGCTTCTCGAGGATCCTTTTCATCTGCAGTTGTAATAGAGGTATTTTCCTTCTAGATCTCTGGCTGTCTTTGCTTTTGGGGCCAAATTTGGAAGATGTCTAACTCGCGGCATAATTTGCATATCAGCAAGCATCAGTGCAATCTGCCAAGAAGAGACAAGGCATATTCGTAGCAGAGCAAATAAGCGAGGAGAACCTTCTTAGCCCATCTTCTTTGAAATGAAAGTTACATTGGAGTTGTCATTTTATTATGTGTCAAATGATAATTTGGATAATAAGATGATACAGTGTTAGTTTTCTCAAGCTTTTATTTGCACCTTTTCAGACAGTTTTAACTGACATTTTTATATGCGTTCCAATGAGCAATCCTTGCAATTTTTGGGTGAGCTCCAGAGTGAGCTATGTAAAAAGAGTATGGTTGAACCCGCTGCAGGGCAGGGGAAAGGGCTAGATGACATAAGGTCCTTTCTCTCTCACCTCTATATGTCTTTTTTTCCTTCAAAGTTTTTGCATTTTCTGTTTGCACTTTTATATACTGTTTTTTTCAGTGTAATTTTATTAATCTTTAGCTAATTTGTAAGATCAGTAGAGAAATATGCAACCATTTAGTCTTATTCACTGCTACAATTTATTGTGAGGAGTATGTTTGTGTCCAAGCCAAGGAACAGAGGAGGGATTCACAACTTCTATTTGGTCAACTTGCTATGATGGCATAGTTAACTCTGAGGGCCACCTACCTCCTCAAGTCATGCATGCAAAATAGAAGTGAATTAAAAGTGCTGTTTGAAGTGACAAAGGTGTTTTGAAAGTCCATTGAGGGCTTTAAATAAACTGTTCTGTAACTAAATCTCTGCATGAACAACTAGCATTGTTGCTAGTCAGAAATTATTTCAGTCCCTCATACCAAGATTATCACAGTTCAGAAAATTGATCTGATTCCAAGAACACGATTGCCAATTTAAGATTCCATTTCAGTAAATTATTAAACAAAGTAACAAAAGTATTCCTGCTTCTTGCATAATTCAATCTTGAATTGTGAATTACGGATTTGTTTGATTTTTAGAACATAGAATGCATATGTTATTTCTCTCATAAACACTGATAATCTGTGCATTTGTTTTCAGTACACGTTTTGGAACTTTGTACCGAAAAATTTGTTTGAGCAATTCAGAAGAATAGCTAACTTCTATTTTCTCATCATTTTCCTTGTTCAGGTAAGCTATCCCCATTTTTCAGTACATTTCTGGACTCTTCCTAAAAAACAGAGGAGTTGAGGTTTAAAAATGCACTGGTTTTGATGACTGATGAGGTAAATGGTTGAGCTTGGACAGCCTTTTACACTTATGATGTGACAAAAGGAGCTTTATTTCATTTCCATGTTGTAAATGTGAATCTAACCTAAAGAGAAATTGACACTATCACTGGTTGATGGCAAGGCAATTGATAAAATTGAAAAGGAGTGTCATTTTTATTTTGTAATAAACAGACATCCAGATCAGCAAAATCATTGTTATAAATTATATTGATGATAAACTTTTTGTTATTTTTGCTAAAATATATTTTTTCTAAGAGAGTGATGCCTTGGCAGAAATTTTCTGACTGCACTGTCATCAAAGCCCATAGAGAAACCAAATTATAGATGTTTACACAATGCTTGCTTAGGGCAGTACATAAACATTTGGGGTTTTAATTACTACCTCAGATAGCTAGTTAGCTGCTTTTTAGGTGTTTTCATTCTGAACCTTTCACAATCACTTGAATCTGTTGAACAGGAAAAATCTTACTAAGTTAAGTGAAAAGCTGAGTTGTGTTGCACACCAGATTGTGAGGAAAGAAAAGCTATGCAGATTCCCGTGACAATTTAGATTTTCTTATCGTTTGAACTCCCTCTCTGGATTCTACCTCTCTTTTTTTAATTGCGGAAACCACAGCTCAATATTTCAGGATTTACTCCTTGCATGTATAAGAGCAGCTGTGTTGTATAACATATAAAAACAGCGCCATGGTAATTTCTAATACTGCTCAGTAATTTTGCCTCCAAAGCTGCGGCTTTCCAGTCTGGTACTTACTTAAAGTAAGTACTTTAATACTTTAAGTATTACTTAAAGTATTAAAGTACTGTTCTTTTTAATTAACGTTCCTTGGTGCTTTGCAACATATTGGTAAAATGATTACCTGAAACGTCTTGCTTGAAAAATTGACTCCTTACATTCACAAAAACATAACCAGAAAATATTTGTTCTTTTTGTTGCAGTTAATTATTGATACACCTACTAGTCCAGTTACAAGTGGACTTCCACTTTTATTTGTCATCACCGTAACAGCTATCAAACAGGTGAGTAATTTCGTGAGCAAAAGTGAAACTAAAGAGAATGTTATTATTTGTTTGGCATTTCAATTTGCCTTGCCTTTTTGTGTTAGACTGTCTTAGGGCAATGCCTAAAGAATGATTGTGATGAATTTTGACAGGGCAATTTTATTTTTGTTTCTGTAGTTTAAGTAGAATTGGTTGCTATGCGATGATGTCTCACCAATGCAACACAAACTTTGAATTATTTTATGATTTTGATGTCCTTGTGTTCCAAGGAATCATTTATATTCTGGTGTTAACTCAGCACACTTAGACTTTTCCACATCCTATTATGTTTTTCCATAATGATTGAAAATGAGTTTAGTAAGAACTACAAAAACTTATAAGATAAATCTGCTCTTACCTTTGAGGTTTCCTTAGCCTTTACAGTGTGAACAGATGATAAAAATTATTTTGGTTCAAGTCATAATGATAACTGCAGTGCTTTCTACAGGTTAGCATTGAACAGACATTATTGTATTCTCTTGATTTTTAATGTGAAAACTAATCCATAAAGCGAAAGTATTTTTTAGAAATTAGCTCTTGCCACATCGTTGAGTAAAAAAGATCCTAATAGTTGTTCAGTCAAAATAGAATTGCATAACAACGGTATGGAATTGTACAGGTTTGCCATTTCACTTTTAAGTTAGTACTACCAAAAAGACTAAGGTAGTTTGTCATCTGCCATCCTAATGCTGAGGTGCTGGACTTGACATGAGCACTTAAATGTAGATGGGATCGTATTGAAATTAGTGGAATCTCAGATTAATACAGAATGTTTTAATTCTTATGGGGATGTTACAACCAGAACTGTGTGTTATTAGAGTTTCTGATATTACAAATTTGGTCTGGGTCAGGAACGAGCTAATGATTGCCCTTCTGTTGATTTAGCCAGAGCTGAATTTGTTAACTTTGTGAGTTTCAGGCCAGCTGCAGGAGGACAAAGGGTAGCTGATCTTGCATGAACCTTGCTAGTAAAAAGTTAATTCATCGAAAATCTTACTAAATTTCAACTAGTAAGTGAGTTTATAAGCAGTACTTTGCATTCTGTCCCTACAACACTCCTCTTCATTTACTGTACCATCTCAGCATAGCCACAAAATAGTTTCTAAAAATCTGGGTTCCTAAAGTAATAGTCACAAATAGTGGTCTTTTCAGTGGTTCTATTATGTATTTGGCTTTCTGCCTTCAGTCCAATTTAATAATAATTGCTCCTACAGGACATCTATCAGTGTAAGACCTCCGTGGTACAGTGAGTTCCCTTTCATGGTTCAGTCTTCACTGTATCTTTGGGTCTAGACACCAGCCATTCCCATTCCATTCACTGAAGTGAAGGAAAGAAATGCGAAAGCAAAATCTGTGCAAGCAGCTTGACTTTCAACATCTTTTGCTGGGCTGCCCAAAGGAGTTAGCACTTTTCGTGGGCATAAGAAAAATCTCTCATGTCATGCTTCAAAAAAATGCTGGTTTGGGGGGAAAAAAATTCCATGAAGTAGATGAACATCAAGACAGTTTCTAGGTCAGAGCACTCCTCCTTTTAGCTCAAAACTCAATGTGTGTGTGTTGGGTGGGTGTCTGTATTTCTTACATACCTATGATGGACTATGGTGGTTAAAACAATGACTAACAAAAATGAGGATGTGGTGCGTTGATCCTGGCCAGCAGCCAAAACACCCACTCGGCCTCTTGCTCGCTCCCATCCCCTGTGGAAAACAGGGAAGGTGAAAAGACTTGTGTATCATGTTAGTGACTGTGATAGGGAAAGCAACAGCGATGCACACAAGCTGAGCAAAAGAAGGAATTCATTCACTACTTCCCATCGTCAGGCAGATGTCCAACCGCTTCCTGGAAAGGAGGGCCTCAGCACATGTAGTGCTTGCTAAGGTGGACAAATGCCATCACCGTAAATGACCCCCTTCTGCCTGCTTTCTGTGAGCTTTCCTTGCTGAGCACAATGTCATATGGTGTGGAATATCCCCTTGGTCAGTTTGGGTCTGCCGTCCAGGCAATGTCCTCTCCCAGCCTCTTGCCCAGCCCCAGCCTCCTGGGCTTTTTTTGGTGTGTGGGAGAAGGAATTCATTCACTACTTCCCATCGTCAGGCAGATGTCCAACCGCTTTCTGGAAAGGAGGGCCTCAGCACATGTAGTGCTTGCTAAGGTGGACAAATGCCATCACCGTAAATGACCCCCTTCTGCCTGCTTTCTGTGAGCTTTCCTTGCTGAGCACAATGTCATATGGTGTGGAATATCCCCTTGGTCAGTTTGGGTCTGCCGTCCAGGCAATGTCCTCTCCCAGCCTCTTGCCCAGCCCCAGCCTCCTGGGCTTTTTTTGGTGTGTGGGAAGGTTGGAGAGAAAGCCTTGATGCTGTGGAAACACTGTTTAGCAGTAGCTAAAACACTGGGGTGTAACCAACGCTGTTCTAGCCTCCAAGTACAAAGCACAGCAGCATATGAGAAGAAAGTTAACTCCATCCCAGCCAGACCCAGAACAGAGAGTAATTTTGATTGTCCCTTAATAGGATAACTGGTTAGCTTCACAGTCTTTATGCTGCATGCGTACTTTTCTTTTGTTAGTTTTCAAAGAAACTACGGAGAGCGGCGTTTCCATTTCTTTACAGTGCTAACTGTACATAACAGAGTATATTCTATAGTAGAATTCAGCTCTTGCTGGTGAGCGAAAGTTGTGATGCATGCAATAGCTAGTATTTTAGGTGTGGCTTTCCCACTCTTAAGATTTTAAATGTTATGTTTTAGAGTCTTACTGTAGTTTGCTAGTGACCTACCAAAGTCTGGATTATGACATGCTGTGCCTAGTACTGCAGTTCTATCTAGCTCTTTGAGTCTTGCTCCCGACAAATGGCATAGACTTTGGGACCTGCTTGAGGATCTGTACCACCCCCTGGAATTATATTACACTAAAGTTATAAAGACTGTTATGCACATTAATCATTTATTTAAGCCTGATTATGATAGTCAGTGCTACCAATTTGTCCTATGTATACAACATCTATATATGCGCATATATATATATACACACAACACATTCAGAATACTTCCGTCATTACTGATCAAATGACAGCCTCTTCATTGGCCTTCTCAATGCTGCTACATTCCCTTCCTGGTATTTTGAAGGTTATTTTCCCAGCTTGTCTCTAAGACCATTGAAAGTAGTGATACCTTTGTTCTACATTGAATTTCCAAATGTGCTCAAGAGAGTTAGATGTAAAAATGCTATAGAATATAAGTGGTATTTTCCATTTCTTAACCACTGGTGTCTTTGCCAGTCCCAATCTTTATCCCACAGCAGTACTTTTTGAATGGAAAGTTGCAGATTCCCTGTCCTTTACTTCGTCTGTTTCTGTAAAACACAAATTCATAGGATAATTGAGCAATCAAAGTAGGTTACTCTGCAAAGTCTCTTGAAACAAAATTTGTCAGGGCTGTATATATGGTTAAAAACCGTACATAATTGTATGTCAGTCAGGAAATATGACCACCTTCAGTCATGTCATCACATTATCATCTTTCAGTTTGGAGTCGCAGTCTTCCAAAATATATTTTCTACACTTTTATCTTCTCAGTAATGACTTTTTTAAGTACTTTACGCTTACTCAAGAGTCAGTGGAGCATGAGCAAGAGATGATCACTTAAACACCAGAAGTTGTTCTACACATTGCAAATATTCCTATTCGTCAAAATGTCTTCATTAAAATGTATGATTTTATTGACTAATTATAACCTTGAATGCTCTTTTTCATATATGTCCAACATGACTGTATTAATGATGTGTATCCCAATTTCGTTTGTTCTAATGAGAATATTTTCTTTTTTTTTCCCTTACCTTGATCAAGGATAATATTTTAAATTTTTGTTGCAAGCTAGAGCTGTTCTGTGTCTTTGTAGCCAAATGTGCATCAGTGCATCATTCCGTTTCACTGTTTTCTAGGGTTACGAAGATTGGCTTCGACATAAAGCTGACAATGCAATGAATCAATGCCCTGTTCATTTCATTCAACATGGTAAACTGGTTAGAAAGCAAAGCCGAAAATTAAGAGTAAGTAACTATGACTTAACAGATTTTAGGAGTCAGGCTTTACTTCACACTTCTTGTAAAACAAATTGTACAGAAGTGTGGTGTGATGATGTTGTAGCATTTATTACGTTTAATGGAGATTAGGCTTACAATATACTAATTTTTAATTTAGTGCCTCTGAATAAAGTATTTGTAGAAGCTAGATATGTTTCTGCTTTATCTTTGCTTTGTTAACTCCTCTTATAACTGTTCCTTTCATTTTTCATTTTTTATCTTGGCATTTCACTCATGATTTGTCTTTTGTCTTTTTTCCATTTTCAGTCGTCAGTCGTTATGCACATTAATAATTTATTTAAGCCTGATTATGATAGTTAGTGCTACCAATTTGTCCTATGTATACAACATCTATATATGCGCATATATATATATACACACAACACATTCAGAATACTTCCGTCATTACTGATCAAATGACAGCCTCTTCATTGGCCTTCTCAATGCTGCTACATTCCCTTTCCGGTATTTTGAAGGTTATTTTCAGAAATTAATTTTGGCTTCTTTTTTTAATTTGTGAGTAGATTAACTTCTCATCATTATTCTCTTTAGAACTTAGCCAATTTAATAGATATTTGTTTGGAATTTCCTTATTTCCAATATCTTTGTTCGGGATATCTTTTTCTGTTCTGCTTTGTCTGCACATAAATGGCTCTGCAGTGTTCACAGCCTTTCTGCTGTGACCTTCCTTCCCTTTGAGTGTGGTAGCTTCTGCCTAGGGCTTCCCGGTATTAAAAAAAAATAAGGTATCACATGCTGAGTATTCTACGTATGCAACTAAACAGTTAAATATTCCAAATAAAACCAATTAAGTACCACATACCTGGATTTTGTATTCCATTAATTAATCTCTTGACCATGTTTTCTCAATTTCTCCCCTATTTTTTGCCTTTCAGAGATTGTATATTGAGCAACTAGATGGTAGGAGAGACAGATATAGGAAATATTTGCATGGAAAGGGGTATCTGTATGTATGGGTAAATGAGTAAAATTCTCTGACCTGTATTACACAAGAAAACAGACTAGCTCCTATAAAGGTAGGCGCTTCTGCACCTAAAGCCCGTGGACATTGATTAAAGAAAGCAAAAAGAAAGTTGCTAAAAGTTGAGGTTTCTTTTTCACAGAATCACAGAATGGTTGAGGTTGGCAGGCAGCTCTGAACGTCTTCTGGTCCAACTGCCTTCTCAAGCAGGATGACCTAGAGGTGTTTGCCCAGGACCATGTCCAGACACGTTTTGACTGTCTCCAAGGAGGAGACTCCACAGCCTCCCTGGGCAACCTGTGCCAGCGCTCGGTCACCCTCACAGTGAAAATGAGATAGACCCTCCCGTGTTTCAGGTTGTGCCCATTGCCTCTGGTCTTCTCACTGGGCACCACTGAAAAGAGCCTGGCTCCATCCTCTTTGTACCTTTAGCTGACACAGTGGCAAATGTTGTCAGAACACCTTTTAAATTTTATTAAGAAGATGCTCTTTGCTAGTACTTTTAATTATTTTGGGTATTTTTTCTTATTCCTGCCTTTTTTTTTTTCTTTTGCAAATTGTTTAGATTAACTTCTGTTTTAATAGGCTGTTGTAGTATAGATTGGACCTGGCTTGCAGGGTCACTTATATGCCATGGCTTACAGAGAAAATCTTGCTAGATTAAGTAATAAATAATAAGGATCATTCAACACTATGATCTGTCAAAATCAAAAGTAAGAGGACTCTTTTGGCTATATGAGTTGGACCTAAAAACACACTTTCTGATGTGCAGATGTTTTCAGTGGCATTTTTTCTCATGCTTGTTCTTGTAGTGACAGTTTACTGTCAGAAAGGGTGTGTTGGTTAAACTGGCCTCCCAACTTTCTCTCTGGCCAGGTTCAATGTTCTGAAGAATTCTCATTTTTCCTTTTATGGCATCTGTAGAGGTGATTTAGTTTGCAGTAATATTGTTGTGGTTTAGGTAGCTGATAATTAAATTAGTGTTGTTTTAAAGGGTAAAGAGAACTAGTAAAATCAAAATAGTTACACGGTGTTCTCACAGTTTGTTTTAGGAATAGGTGCATTCTCTGTCACCTCACAGTTTATTCAAGATAATTCCCTAACAGTGTTTCGTCTGGTTTTGGTAAAGTTCTCACTTTGAGGGCTTTATTATAATTTATCACATTATCATCTTTCATAATTAATGATTCTGTGGCATAAAGGCAGGTTGTCTTAAAAACACATCTTGGAAGATCGAGGCAGCCTGAGCGATAGCCTTGTCTGTCAGGGTCCGCTGCTCTTGGGATGAACGTTCTGTATTGTTCAGGCTGGCTCCAGCCAAGACGTTCAGTGCCTCCGGTTCTAGACCTACCCATTCTCTGTCTCACTACCTGTCTTCACTTCCCGGGGTCTGTAGAATGCTACATGAGAAGTCATTTAAGCCAAAGGAAATACATGTAGAAATTAATCCCCTCCTAAATTTGAACAGCCCAAAACTTTTTATTATTGGTTAAAAGTGCAGCTTCTTTTCCCTAGAAATGGAGTAGACAATTGTCATTCCGCTGTTTTAAATCATCTCTAATTTATGTTCAGAGACTCAAAATCAGTAAACTGCACAGCTCTACTGCTGCCCTAGAAGTCATGATTTTCAAAAGGACGCCATTATTTACCTAAAAGATGGAAAATATCTTGTTGAAGTTTGTGTTAATTTTCATGCCCGATTGTTGTGGGTGTGCTTAGCAGCTTGCATTCTTCTATGCCATATGTACAATTTTTCATTGCTGTCAGGTAAAAAAAAAGTCTTTTTCATGTCTACAGGAAGTTAAATCTCATTTATTGTCATCATCCTAGTTCTTCAATATGTTAGTAAATCTTATCTAAGATGTCACAATTATATTTTTAGATGTTACTATTGCTGATTGTTATCAGACTATTTTGCTTAACTAGAATTAACTGACTACTGCCAACTGCTAAGGATATCAGGATTTAGCTTTATAAGTGTATCACAAGAACAATGATTAAGCTGAATCTTATGATAATTAATTATAAAAATGAATTCTATAAAAGTATATTGAACAGATGTCGAGCCTCATAAAAAGTGCAAAAATTACGTATTTTGATGGGATTTTTATTGAAACTTTGATATTCTTAAAACATGTAGGGTTTTTTTTGCCATTTGTTCATATTTTTAATATTCCTTTGTAAAAGATGACCTCCAAAAATGTATCAAAGGCTGATATTCACAAATGAATGGTTTCCAGTAATATTTTGAATTTATAGTTAGTTGGCTGTTCTGTGACACTAACACACTGAAATATTTTGCATGAATAAATATTAATTTGTTCACCTTTAAACATGCATAAAAATAGAATGGACTTCTAGTTGTAAATTCTGTTGAAAATGTATCCTCTTTTCATTGCAGACTTCGAGCTCTTAGCTTTTTTAGCTATCTCTAATTATAATATTTAGAGCTAGATGCTTATCCTCAAGAGCCAACAAGAGTAGCTCATGTCTCCAGCTGGTTTTGAAACAATTTTTTCTTTTACTTTGTCTTAAAACAAGTATTCTATCTTCCGTCTCTCAAATAACATTGCAAAACTTAATAGGACAGTATGTGCAGAATGGTTATTCTGAGAGGAAAGGTAGTACACAGTAGACCTCCATCATTCCACGAGGTGTAATTCAGTTTTTCAGAGATATTTCTATAGTTCTTTACTCTTGTGGTAAAATCCTGGTGTAAATTAAAAGTGATAGATTTTCAAGATACTTGAGTGAACCTGGGTTTGGGGTTTGAAATCTGAAATTTGGGCTGCTACGTAAATCATAAACGCATTTTATTTTGTTGTGTTTTGTCCCTAGGTTGGAGATATTGTAATGGTAAAAGAAGATGAAACATTCCCATGTGACTTAATATTTCTATCAAGTAGTAGAGGAGATGGAACATGTTTTGTTACAACAGCTAGTTTGGATGGTGAATCCAGTCATAAAGTAATAAGATGTTACATTTTCTTCTTAAGGCAAAGTTTGCATTTGATTTTTTTACACAGATCGCAATATAACTTCACGCTTATATGTGTGAGCAAGTACGGTAACTTGTGTAACTTACATTTCTACCAGTTGACTTCATTTCTCTTAAAGCATCATTATTTTATGGAAAGTTTTAAAAGGAATTTATTTGAGCTTTTGTCTGCATCCATCCAGTATAGGCATGCAAATTACAGAGATAATGCACAAACTTTTTTGTACTTAAATGCTTTCACGGTGACCTGATTTGTGAGTACACTGCAAGATACTTGTATGTAAGGTAAGAAGATGCCCAATTAGCAGCATTTAAAGGTGCATCTTATTTGAACTATGAGCTCTTATGTAACAGATAGTAAATGTATTTCATGCTGAACTTATTTGCAGTTTAATGTCTTGTATATCTGCCCTTACTTTTTTTGATTTTATTTACACCTTTTTATTCATTCCAGACTTACTATGCTGTTCAAGATACAAAGGCATTTCACAATGAACAAGAAATCGATGCACTACATGCTACCATTGAATGTGAACAACCTCAGCCTGACCTTTATAAGTAAGAAAATACTTCTTACCTGTTTCATTTAAGGTACCCTAACAATAAATCATAAGAGTATCATAATGAAAAGATGTGGGCTGCATCTGGCTGGTTAGGGTGGACCCCAGAGTGAACTTGAAGTCAGGTTAATCTTCCATCCATACCCCTTTCCTGCAGGTAGTTCACTGGTCTGCTCTAGGGCAGTGCTCTCCAAAGGTGGGGTGCACACTGGGGTGTGTGATGGAAATTTTAGAACTGCTATTTATTTTTTTAGTCTAAGCAATAAGAAAAAAAGCTTTATTAATATTTCATCTATTTCTTGACACTGGCACCCTTAATCAGTCCATATGTCAGTGTCCCATGTCACATACAGTTCGCAAGGAGTGCCCAAGGGAAGAGTGGGTGTTCTGCAATGCAGAGAGGTTGCCAGTGGCACCCTCACTCATTCCTTTGCTTTCAGTGAGTTGTGAAGTATTACAGTTTATGTGTGCCTGGTTAAGTGGATTTTCAGATTACATTACCTAGTTCTAACTAAAGTAACCCTCACAAAATGGTCAAGTGGCTTAGAAAGATTCCTGCAAAGAAACTGCAGACTGAAAGTACTAATAATGCAAGCACAGGTGAACAATAAGAAAATGGCAAACGCTTCTATTTCTTGTATGAGCTCTTCATCAGCCACATTATGAGGTAAAAACAATGCCAGTTTAATCAGATCTGACAAGAAATGAGCCAAAAAAATTTGGAATTATCAAGACTGTTGGAAATACAGGTTTACATCTGTTATTATTAACAATCAACCTCACCGTATGTGCTTTGAGATATTAGCTAGTGATAGTATGAAGCATATGAAACATTATGATTAGCAAGACATTTAAAAACTAAGCATCCAGAACATGAAGAAAAACCTCTAGAATTTTTTAGCAATGTTTAAAGTCACACAGTACTCAATGTTTTACAGAAGTACTGTACAAAATTTCACTAAACTTAATGACAAATCTTTAGAAGCCTCTTTTGAGGTTTCTTGCTTAGTAGTGAAAGACAAAAAAGCCACGTACCATTGGGAAACATTTGTTCTTCCTGCCACAGTAAAAATAGCTGAAATAATATACAAAAACCAATATGGTGACAAACTAAAATGCACCCTTTTGTGAGCAAATACTGTTAGAAGATGCAGGTATCTTTTCCCTGATTTCAGTGACAAGGAACTGAAATTCTAGAAAGTCTAGAAATCTGTAATCTTAACAGATTCTTTAGAAAATTGATTCCATGAATGGTTTGATCCTTTTTTAAATACCTGGCTCACAAAATGAATGGTTGGAAGTTGAAGCTCATGCTATGAGAGATGGTGGAATTTGTTGGGACAACTGTTGACACACGAATAATGAGAACACTTACTGGTAGACAGCTCCTACCTCTGCTAATTTTGACTTGGCACTTTACCTCTCAACAAACCACAGAGGCAAATTTTTCTTTCAAAAGGCGCATAGTCGTTTTACATCATTTACATCATTACCCTTGCAGGGTAACAGACCTACAACTCCCCACAACTCCCTCTGCCATCCAGAATGCTGGAGTCCAACTTAATGGTTTGATGACAGTGGTATTGCAAATACAGTATACTGAATCTGTCTGGAAAGGGCTTAATTTTCTTCATAGCAGCCCACGTGGTGTAGTGGTTTTGATTTGTGACTACAGCAGTGTTGATAAGGTACCAATGTTTTAGTTATTGCTGAGCAGTGCTTGCACAGTGTCAAGGCTTTCCTTGTTTCTCACTCTGCCCCCCCAGCAAGTAGGCTGGGGGTGGGCAAGAGGGTGGGAGCCGACGCAGCCAGGACAGCTGACTTCAGTTGACCAGAGGGATATTCTGTGCCATGTAATGACATGCTCAGCAATAAAACTGGGGGATAGTTTTTCCAAAGTAGCTGTTGCTCGGAGACTGGCTGGGCATTAGCCTGCTTATGGGAGGTGGTGAGTGGTTGCCTTTTCATCGCTTGTTTTTTTTCCCCCTTTATTATTAGTCTGTCATTATCTCACTTTTGCTTTCTGATTCTCTCCCCTGTCCTGCTGGTGTGGGAGCTGAGTGAGAGGCTAGTGGGTGCTTAGTTGCTATCCAGGATCAACCCACCAAATATAGATAAAATGTACTTAGAGGTATTCAGAGGGAAAATTCCTTATTGGCTTCATGCTTTTGTTTTGTTTTTAACTCAGTTGTAGGCTTTAAGTTTTGTAAAAGATAGTAATCACACTGTTACTTTTCTAAGGTAGCTTAGAGAATAAGATTTCTTGTGTGATTAGAAGATTTATTCATAATTTTAATTCTTTTATATCTTTTTATATCTTTTATAACTTTACATTGACTTACTGTTCTGTGCATTTTTGTATCGACATGTTTTAAATATATCCATATGTATCTCTATTTTCTTGTTTACTTCCTGGATAATCATAGCATGTTTAATTGGAGGCTGTTTGCTCACTGTAATAAATACTTTCTATAAAATTCTTTTCAAGTAATCTATTCTTACATATACTTTCTAAAGATTTTCAAAGTGAGAGTGATTTTCTTTTTTAAATATATATGTGTGGTATACATACATCTGTATATAGAGAGAATGACATGTCCTTGTAATGTACATTTGAAAAACTGAAATACTGGGACATATGTGCATAAGAATACGCAAATTAGAAGTGCTGTTAAACTACTTGTGTATTTCCCTTGCAGATTTGTTGGTCGAATAAATGTTTACCATGATAGGAATGAGCCTACTGCAAGGTAGGGAAAATGCAGGGTTTCTACTCATTTAATGATTTTTGGAGTTGAATAAGTATCAATAATGAGAATTACCTTTTTTCACAAACATTGTGCTGCCTTGTCTTACTTATTTTTCTCTTAAACGTTTACAGACTATTTCATTATCGTAAATATTTAATCATTTAATCAGTGAGATTTCTCTTACATCTTTATTCAACTTCAGTTTTTATTTGATATGTATTTAGTTTGTAAATTATGTTGATAGAATTTTGACAGTACTTTGATAATACCGCCCCATTAGCATGAGGTCTTGGTAGTGCACCAAACAGTATGAATAGTAACACCTTTTGCTTCTTTCACTTTAAAGATTCTTTTGAATAGTAATGTTGGTTGTAAATGGACTTGGGTGGGGGAGGAAAGGAAAATACCTTTTTAGTCTCAACACCAATATATTGATCTGTGCATAACGCTGTAAACGAGAAGAAAATCTGTAGCATTAAGACTTGTTTTCCTTCGACAGCGCTATTAGAACAACTAGTATTTTTTTACTGTATTTGTGTATAATGTCTTATAACCTAGATCATTCATATAACATCACTCCAGTGGTTTAAATGGAACTAGTTTCAGGTTTTACATCAGAGTTGTGGCCCTGGGGTTTTTGTTTGTTTAAGGTTTCTTGATTTTGGGGGGTTTCATGCCACAAGAACACTTTGAATAACATTAAAAAATACTGACCTGACTTCTTGGGGTTTTTTCCATTGCTGTATAAATAGAGTCTGACAATTCTGCATTCTGATTGTCTATAAAGTAGTCCTTGGTTTTGCACTCATACAGTGGTTTGTATTACATATCATGCGCCAAAATGTTACTTTAAACTGCATGGGGATCCTTGCATTAATTCCCCCTAGTTCTCAAGAAATTTTTTTACCTATATTCATCTTTATGCTTTGAAGAGTATACAGTAAGTATCAAACAATATCTTGTATACCATTTATACTTAAAATAAAATGGAAGAATGTATTGTCCTTAATAAGTAATTCTAACATGCAGGACACTATAGTTTATATGAGCCTAAAAAACACTTCATCGGTATTTTTAAAAAGAAGCACCTTACAATTTGGATTATGAGTCTTTATTTAGGAACCTACATATGTAGGTTTTAGATGCATTGGTTTAAGACTTCGATTCTGAAATTATAAGCTTAATTTTAGGTATCTATCTATCTATTTATTTATTTTCTCTTAAAAGCTTTAAATTCTGCCTAGTAGTTTTGTTACACAAAAGAAAAATATTTGAGTAAAACTAATTTCCTGTTTTACATGGCTTCCACTGAGGTCTGCTGTTTCTCTTTAAATGTTTGTATTTTGTAATACTTATCTTTTGCAGGCCATTAGGATCTGAAAATCTGCTTCTTAGAGGAGCCACTTTAAAGAACACAGAAAAAATCTTTGGTAAATATTTCTATTGATTTTTTAAATGGACCCTGAAGTAATAAGTAAACGTCAAACAAGGCTGCAACTCTATAGTTGCTACTGAATATATGATTTCTATTGAATCACTTGATTTACAACTTTTTTATAAGGTTTACTGTTGCTACAATTGCAGTAAAGTAACTGTTGTTATAGTGTACAATGACTATAGAGAGGTTTTTGGGAGGGCGATTTTCTAGTTTAGTCTTCAAGGATTAGTGAAGATGAATCAAATTCTTCATGTAAATATATGGCTTTTGAACATGTACTGTGAATTAATGTTGTTATCCCAAAGCAGTTAATAAACTGTTAAAAAGTGTGAAATGTGCTTTGCTTTTTTGTCAGAACAGACAGATAACCCAGCCGGATAGAAATATGGCTTATAAAAAAAAAAAAATCACTTAAACAGTTCCTGATCAAAATTAGACTTTCTGCTAGCCATTGTATTTTGAGTATATGAATTGTCTTTGTTCATTGAATAATTTGAATATTTTAGTAGAAATAGGAAGCACAAACAGATATGGTTTTTGGAAATTCTTCAAGAAAGAATAGTGGGAGTAGTAGTTCTGTTGTTACAAGTCATTCTTTGCTGGTGACAAGAGGGACAAGGATCCAAGTCATCCTCTGTCACATACAACTTTCCTACTCCCAAAGAAGATCATAGGTAGCCAGGAACTACTTAGCCTAAAATACCAAAATCTTGCAAATTTTTCTTCAAATAAATCATAAAAAGCATGTATTAATTTAAACTTGCTGTCTTTGCTGTTAATTGTAATCTAAAATACATGAACTGATAAAATTAGTTCGTAGGAAGTATATCTGTAAACTTCGGAGGATGGTTTTAGTATTTCTATTAACTTGTATATCAGGTAGAGATGTTCCTAATATGAATGTTTGTTTCTGCTCTGCCTAACACATGGAGTATTTGCTGTTACCCCAGCACAAACCATAACCTGAATTGTTTTATTTTAGCAATGTACAGGTGTGCTGGTTTAATAAGTACTTTAAATACATCTTCCTGTTTACAGCTTCTTTCAGTTGTTGTATTTAGTCTTCTGAAGTTTAGTCTCTCAATCTTTGCTATCAAAAGGAAATTGTAGTATCAAAAGATCACTGTTTTCATTAATTACTAAATTTTCCTGAAGCAAGCAAAATCGATGGCTGCTTTTTATTCTTCTTGGATGTATTCTGTAGTTTAGCCCTGGATTTTCTTTTACAATGTATGACTTAGATTCTAAAATTAAAGTCAAAAAAAGGAACTTAAAAATTCAAGGGGATGTATTCAAAACCTAGCTTTAGTTTGGCTTTAATACATAGCAAATGTTAGCAATGGGGAACTGTGACTCTGCAATCTGATGTAAATGCTGCTTAAAATTTCCCTCTAAGAACCAAGGTATTAAAGCCATTTCTGGTTTTTGAATATCATCCAAGTATTTGTTCTTTTTCTTTAGACTACAGAGAATTAAAGAAATGAGAGAGTATAATAATCTAGTGAATTGTGCTTTTATTAAGTTATTGTACTGTGCAATCCTTAGTAAAACAAGTTGTCTAATTTCAGGTGTTGCTATCTACACTGGCATGGAAACTAAGATGGCATTAAATTACCAGGCAAAATCACAGAAGCGATCTGCTGTAGAAAAGTAAAATTTCTAAATTTTTTTGTGGGGGTGGGGGTGGGGGGTGGAAAACTGCATGTTTGGTGAAAATAAGGGATTTTTTTTCTTGCTAAAAGTGGTTTCATTGGTTTAAATTAAAAAAGAGATAGAGGGGCTTAAAATCTGCGTTTTTGTGTGTATCCTTTTTTCCTTATAAAATGAGTCATATAACACCACATAAATGATATTCTCAATACTGAATTATTATGAAATGTTAAGTGTTAAAAAAAAACCCAAACACCTTAATGTAATTCTAACCTCTGTAAGATATGATGTGTTTTGCTGCTGTTCCAGAAGACTTTTCTTTCACTGGTTAATGTACACTACTGACACTTTTCCAAAACTGTGTGCTTCAGTATTCTAACATTCCTGTTTGCCTCTTTGTTGCAATTAAGTCTTTAATTCAGCAAAAATAACTGTTTTGCTGCTCTTGACTTTGTATCAATTGCAGTAACAAAGTCTGTCTGTGGTATGTTTTCCATGGTTTAGCTAAAATTAAAAGTTCCATATAGGTATGTATGATGGGAAAGGAAGACACTGCTATCCTCAAGGGATGAGCTGACATTGGTTGCTTACTTTTCTAAAATAAAGAAGATTTATTTTCTAGTCCTACTCCGCTATCTGAAATCATCAGCTTTTAGTAAGGTGTCCCACCCTGTGGGGGAAAAAAAAAAAAAAAGATGTCATTGTTTAAGGCAAGATGTACTGACCAGCTAACAGCCCTTCTCTTACGCAGTGACTGAGCAATGATGATGTGTCTCTTCCTCTTGTTATTGATGTATAAGCCATGGCTTTTCGTTCATGCCTGTCATTAATATAAATATAATTTTACATGTGAAGTTTTCTTGGTCATTCTTTTTTTAGATCTGTCTAGAAAGAGTTAAACCATTACAGCTACATAGCAAAATGTTCTTGATAGATTTATATTTCTATAAAAGTACTTATGTGAGCGTTTTTATATTGGCTCAGGGAAGTGGCATAAAAAGGTCTGCAGATACAAGCCGGGTTATTCTGTTGTGATTCCATCTATCCTGTTGTTTTCACTAATGTACTAGGTTTGGTAATGTGTCACACTCATTTTCAAAACAATTATAGCAGTTAACATTTTAAATAGAAAATGGTCCTCAGTAATATTTTTCTTCATTGGGAAAACACTGTAGCAAAGTTATTTAACATCACAGCATTGTCAGACTTGCAGAAAATGCTAGGCTGAAGCACAAGTATAACATTTTTTAATAAACGATGTAGTTTGTATGCTAATGGAATTTTTATTTTGCCTTTTTTTTTTTTTTTCAGATCAATGAATGTATTCCTTATTGTATACCTCTGTATTCTCATCAGTAAAGCACTAATAAATACTGTCCTGAAGTATGTCTGGCAGAGCGAACCATTTCGTGATGAGCCATGGTATAATCAGAAAACAGAGCCAGAAAGGAAAAGAAATTTGGTATGAAAATGAATTAAAATACCAAAAAAGTTTCTCTAAACCCTTAATTTATAAGAATCCTATCAGAAAAGTATGTACAGCCTGCTTACTTACCAATCATAAATTCTTGGGTTTTTGCTAACAATGGTATATTTGTATAAAGCTTGTATATCAAATTTTTGCATTTAAGTTGTATGTATGAATTTCAGTGATGAGAAAATATCTGGTTTAGTCTAGAAAGCCTCATGAAAGTGTTTTGGAGTTTCTTGTCATTGATGTGAATTACTAAAGAACTGACCCCTTGCAGAGAAATACAGGACTGAAAGGAGGCCCACAACTGTTGGGAACCATATAATGGACGTGTTCAAAAGAATCTGCTGTAGGAATCTCTGTAAAAATACCCCTCAAAAGCTTAGTTTCGTATGGCCCTGTAACTCTGCCATGAGCACTATGGACCGACAACAGAGGTGCCAGTGTCCAGTGTTCTTAGGGGAGCAAGGACATAGTCCAGAAAGGATACCCAGATGATCCAAAGTAATTAACTCAACCCAGCGCTGCAGAAATCATAATGTTATTTCCCTAAGACCTTCCTATCAGACTAGGGGAAAATTTCCTTCTTTGCCCTAAATGCATGATAAGCACACGCTAGCCAGGCATATTTTATATTTCTCTTACCACCTGTAACACTGTCTCACCCTGCTCAGCAGGTTGACTATACCTACAGCTAGTCTCTACCAGGGAGAAAGCTGAGCCAGATTATTCTACTTGTATTGAGAAAAGGAGGGGAGAAACCCTTTATTTATTGATGAAGTGTTGCCTGTAGTTTTATGGTATTCTGGGAATTTGTGAATGTACATTTTATTGTTTTCCTTGTTCTCATACAGATGCTTACCATTCATATACAGTCACTTCTGTTACTTGCTCTAGAACTTCGTAACAACGATGTGTAACTGTACTCGACACTTGTATGTCTGTGGAGAAAAATACAAAGTTAAATATTTTTTAGAGGATTGCAAGTGAACTCTTTCGGACTTCTTGTGTTAGTTATGCTACACACCCCCATGAAGTTTGCCAAATTAGTTGTGATGTTATAAGTCATGAAGTTATACATCCTATGCCAAACTGTGAGCTGTGAAAGATGTTGCTTACTCTTTGAAAGTTATTAGAAAAAAATAATTTGCAAATGTATGTAGTCACGTTTTGGGTTTTGCTGGTAAATGAAAAATCAGTATTTTCATCTTTTTCTTTGGCAGTTTCTTCAAGCTTTTACAGACTTCCTTGCATTCATGGTTCTTTTCAACTACATTATTCCTGTATCCATGTATGTCACTGTGGAAATGCAGAAATTTCTTGGTTCTTATTTCCTTACATGGGATGAGGAAATGTTTGATGAGGATACAGGTGAAGGACCACTGGTGAATACTTCTGACCTCAATGAAGAGTTGGGACAGGTAAATTTCATCAAACAATAACTTTTTCAACTATTTCTACAATAATTTTTTATTTTAAAATGTTCACTTCATATTTTTGTTGCAGCTTAGTGTGCATTTTCTTTAGTGCTGATTAATTTTAAAAATAAAATTTGAGATCTTCTGATTTTCAGAATCAAAAATTCTAATTTCTCAGCCAGTCAGTGGAAGGCAGTTCGTTTTACTTACTAGTAAAAGATAAACACTTTAAGAAGGTAATGATTTCTCGCTATTGACTATATAAGCATCTAACTTCCTGAAGGTAAATGTCAGGAAAAAAACCCTTTTTTGTCTGGCTAGACTGACACCAAATCTCCATACACAAGTTTTACCCAATAAAATGATTGACTGTCCCTCTCCTTTTCCAAAAGAAATTCTATCTTTATTGTTCCGTCTTAAGAAAGTCATTGCCTTGACACAGATACACCTGTACATTTTTGAGAAAATCTTTAGGATCTCCATAAATTAAAAATGTTTTCATAGGTTTTCAAATAAAATAAGTAAGATGGTGTATTTCTTTATTTTTGTACAACCAGACTAGTAATTAAACTTTTAGGGACATGTATCTATTTGGATAAAGGGAGGTACTGAGTATTTTATTATTATGGAAGTCAACACTGTCTCCCATAAAATCCTCATAGAGAAGTGGGTGAATTACGGACAGGATGAGCAGACAGTGAACTGGATTGAAAACTGGCTGAATGGCCAGGCCCAGAGGGTGGTGGTCAGCTGCGCAGTCTAGTGGGAGGCCAGTAACTAGTGATGTGCACCAGGGGTCAATACTGAGTCCAGTCTTGATCATTTAATGATCTGGATGATGGAGTGCAACCTGAAACAGGAGAGTCTGAACATCAGGAACTGCTGTTTTAGTGTGACAGTGCCCAAGTTGCCTAGGGAGGCTGTGGAGTCTCCCACCTTGGAGATAGTCAAAAGTGGTCTGGACATGATTCTGGGCAAGTGGCTCTAGGTGTCCCTGCTTGAGCTGGGGCATTGGACGAGATGACCTCCAAAGGTTGCTGCCAACCTCAACCATTCTGTGGTTCTATTACAAAAAATAACTTGCTACTACTTAATTTAAGCATTGTCCCAAGAGTGGGACCCTCATCTGTACTTGGCATTATCAGTACCAATCCAATGAACTAAATTTTGCATCCACATTTTTGAAAGATATCATACATTGTATTTCTAAGGCTTGGATTGTGAATCATTATTGGTACTTGCAGCAAATAGTGTCACAGTGATATAGACACTTTATTTCTTTTTTAGTGTAACGGGTGTTGATCCCAAAGCAACACACTGAATGAATGAAAGACCTTTGCTTGATAGCATTTTATATCTTTTATAAATGTATTATGAAACTGAATATAGGAGTTGAGATGAAAGAAATCCATAGAAATCCTGTCCACTTCGAAAAAAGTTAAATACGGGTATTGTGCCCATAGATAACAAACTACTGGGAAATTTGGAAAATTGCCTTTTCAGATTAATGAATATTAGAAAAGTCAGTCTAGGAGGAAAGTTCAAGTATTTAATAAGTTCTTTTACAACGGAGAACAAAAATTTGTTTTTTATTTTGTACAATGCCCTTGGTAAATATTGAAGTTTATTAAAAAATCTGATGAGTAGTGGACGAACTGGTTTCACACGGCCTGGATGAGCGTACGATCTGCTAGATCAAGCACTGGCTGAGTGGAAGGTCCCAAAGAGTGGTGCTCAATGGATTTAAATCCAGCTGGTGGTCGGTCACAAGTGGTGTGCCTCGGGGCTCAGTGTTGGGACCATTTCTGTTTAACGTCTTTATTGATGATCTTGTTAAGGACATAGGGTGTATCATCAGCAAGT